GTTCCCTTCCAAGACTCGGTGGTCTGGGTACGATGAAACTGAGATTCAATTAATCCTGGTGCTGGTTTTGCAGGAAAAAATCTGCTGAATTTGGGTCTGAAAAAAACAACTCCAAATTCCAAGTGTCCTTGGGAAAGAAATGAACAATTGCGTAAAATAGCATAGCCTGAAGTCTGCCTGCCTCCACAGTCTTCTGCAGTGTATTGCCTGTTTTGCAAGCCTGCAGTCCCACCAGGTGTGGTCATCACTAAGTGAAACTGAGCTTAGACTTCAGCGATGAACTTGGTGGTTTCACTCCAGTCCCCAGAAGAAACCGTCCTCCTCAAACCATCCAGCTATCCTGCTCTTTACCTTGGAGAGGCAGAGTCAGTAAAGCAGTGAATATTGCAGGTAGGATTGAGCAGACTGGCAGAGCAATGAGGCCCCCACAGCTGCGAAAGCAGTCAAGGCTGAGATAGAGATGTTTTTGCAAGTCTGGAATGGCACAAGATTTTGCAATGTAAGTGCACTAACACTGTTATACAAGGACACAACAGATGCCAATTCACTGAGTAAACTACCAAGCGTCGCCTCTCCGTGCTGCCATTCCTACTGTCTCATTTAAAGGGCAGTTCTGGCCAGAATGACACAGACTCTGAGTCACACCATGGCGAAGAGGTTGTGATGCTGCTGGGGAATCCGCATCGCTTTGCTTCCCTCTCAGCACGGCTAGAGGACAGATACCTGTCATGGCACGATGTCCACCTGCGGCAAGACGGATCCCGTTTAGCCCCCGGCATTGCTCAGGACCCCCACTCACCCAGCTAAGGGTACAGCCCGTTAAAAACCACACCTGCCTCACACAGCCTGAAACTAGACCGATAAACACCTCTTCAAACCGATACTCAGCTTCATTCTCTGTTATCCAAACTCTCCATCAAAGGCCACCTACCTACGAAGCAGACATCTCAACCCAAGCCAGACACGCCACGTACCAAAGCCTTTTGAAAATGGGGAGCCAAGGCTACATTTATCTGTTAGTAGCGCAGGGGTGACAGCCATTATTTTACACCTGCAATGTTCTGCAAATTCTTAAAGACTTCAACCTCGTAAGGTGATTACGGCACTAATTAGAGAAACGCTGTCATCCCCGGAGTGCAACACTGCAGCTGTTTCAGCCGAGCAGCAAAGAAAAGCCACGAGGGCAAGGCAGCAGAGTGGTCGTGCCCCCGGGAGAAGCCCTCCTGCTCCGAGCATCCCGGCACTGCCGGCTCACGCAAGGGAACCGCTCCGGTTCCCGCAGAAGAGGACCGCAGCTCTACCCACCACCCCAGCCGCCGCTCTCTCTCCCAGAGGGCAGCACCCCCTCGTCCACCTGGCTGCATGAACGCGGGCTCTGAAGGAGGGGGTGTCTGCTGCGGCCCGAGCCCTGCAGTTCTCAGCACGTGGCTTTTCCCGGGAAGCTGTTCGTATATGGATTATGGACCCCGAAGGGATCTCTCTGGTCATCCATCCCGCAAAATGGAGATCACAGAGACCACCTCAATGATCTCCTCTTCAAACTGCAGCATGAAAAAAGGAAAAAACAAAATCCCATGTAGACATCCCGTGATAAGCCACGAGACGAAGGCTTAGGGTGACTGTGGGCAGGCTGGGACCACCACCCCAAGAAAGGGGGAACGCCTGCGTGGCCGCCAGCCAGGTCCCGCATGAGAAACACTCTGCACCACAGGCTGAAGATGGGTGGGAGGAAGGAGGCTGATCCTCTTCACAGCACTCCCCCCGTGAGGAGACAGCTCTGACCACGGCACTGACAAGCTCTCCAACTTGGTGGGAGCTGCAGCGCCAGGAGCGGCCGACG